CCCCCTTGAGAGTGGTTGGGAAATATTTGCACCAAGTTGCCTCGGATCTGGGGCAAAGATGCATATGAGCCTCATACGAGGCCACGTGGTCCTTCGGATCCGTGGTCCCGTCATATGTGATATGCGACGGTATTTTAACCGTGGGTACGCGCTCTTCTAGTATCCATTGCTCGAATGGTGAACTAGCGGGAAGCATAATGGCCTTGCCCTTGTTCCTGGCCGAAGGGACCGCGCTCCGCCCTCTCAGAGAGGTAGGAGTGGTTTTCGTCCCTGGCTGGGAAGTCTGGGCCTCGGCTGCAGGGAACGTGAGGCGACTACGCACGCTCGGTTCCTGGCCGCCGAGTCGGTCAAGGACGCTTCTGCGAGCAGTCTCAGGTTCCCGGCGAGTAGATTCTGGCCGAGAAGCTGAGCTGCTGCTCTTATGCGCTGCTGGTCTTGAGGATGAGGATCCTTTAAATAATTGAGAGTTCTTCTTCCTCTGTTTTTCATTTTTCCAAGAATCCTCCTCCCACTCTTCCAGTTCCCGGAAGGAAGGAAGCTTCCCACCGTCATGGTCTAACTTCCTCCGCTGATGCCGGGTATGCGGAGGAGTTCGATCACGAGGCGGTGGCATATTCTGTGCCCTCATTGCCTCCATGAGTACTGCCAGCGCTCTTGCCACCTCCTCCGAACTGGGCCCCGTCAAAGGGGTCCCCGGCCGAGTGTGGTAATGAGGCCGTGCAGCCGATGGTTGGCTTTGGGACACCGAATATGTCCTATGATCAGACTGACCCCTGCTAGACCGAGAGTGGTCCGGCCTATATTGGGAGTCATGCATTATAGGAGATAGGGAATCCTCCTTGTGTGATCCTCCCCCCGAGCCGGCACCCTTGGGAGAGTTCCGGTCCGGCGAGGGCGATGGTGTAGGGGTTTTAGGCTTTTCGCCCGCTCCTTGACGGAGGCTTTTGCTCTTGCGGTTCTTAGCCATGGCTGCTAAGATAATTGCAAGATGATCTTGGTTAGGAATTTGGCTTAAAGATTTTTGAAAGTCTTCCCCACAGACGGCGCCAAATTGTTTCGGTTGAAAACAATGGGACCTTGCCGAAGGTCCACTAAAATGGAGAAGACTGGATTCGATCCAAGCTGTGTTGGGCCGAAGGTTTCCTGCACAGTGAACACACGTAAACTAGCCTCGGGGGTGTTTCCGAGGAAGGCCCCTCCGATGCTAAAGTCAGTACAATGTGTAAAAAGGAAGACACTATGCAAGAGAGTTTGTAGCTTGAGGCTTTTGTGGAGTATTTCTCAATGCAAGAATGAGCATATGAATTGCAATAATCGGTGTATGAGATAATGCAAGTGATAATGTGTCTGATCTCGTATATGATGTTATGAGATGTCTGATGTAAGAATATGACTCTCTCCTTGAATGTGTTAATATGAGGGCTTTTATACCTCATCATATTTGGAGAGGTTGGGCTTTAGCCCAATTGGCTTACTTTGTGGGCTGACTTTTGACTTTTGAGCAATTGGAGAGTTGAACCTTGACCTTGGGCTTTTAATTGGATCATTTAGTGCTCAGGCTCAATTTTGACTAAATTGGACCCAAACACTAAGCAATCAGGGATATATAATAAAATTATTAATTAAGATGGAAGGACTTTTAAACCATAAAATATTACTGCGTATTGTAAAATCCTAATAGTAGCATTATTAAATAAAAAAGAAAAAAGTAAAGTAAATAATGCATGAAGACAAACATGGGCTTGGTTTTGTGTGTGTTTCCTTCATTGATACAGAAGTGATTTTCACAAGAAAATCTTATGAGTATAAATTAAATAAAGTTTGGTTAAAAAGGAGACAAGTTGATGATATTATTACACAATATCACGTTAACAGTGTTAAACCAACAAATTAAAACTTACTAGTCATGCATTACTCTGTATTATATCCATACATAATTATTAATATAATGCATGAGAAACAAACCTAATTAGTTACGGAGTATATATATTATAAATTATAAATAAATAAAATTGTTAATTATTATTCCTAACGCAAGCAACCATCTGATGATTGAATGTTGACGATGACCCTCGACTAGTTGTCATGTTGCCATACCCTCAATCATATTTCAATTCATACTTTAATTTGCTTCTATTATCGCAATTCATCTCTTATATATTATCTGTTTATCTATTAGCTATCAATATAATCTTGGTTTTTCTTTATTTTTTTGGCCGGTGCAATAACATGATGTAATAGTCAGCGATAGAAAACTAGAAATTAATGATAAATATATATACCTCTTCATTATAGTACCTGGCCTTTTGTTTCATAATCTAAGCGAGTAAATAATAGGTAGTACAAACTACAAAGTAATTTGTATCACAACATATAAGAGGTTGAATATAATAAGCAATATCCTCTATCAATTAGATAGAAGTATAGATCAGCTCCTATAATTGAGTGTTTTAACAACAACCAATATCAATTAGACATTCGGTTTTAAAATTCATAAATTAATCTACTCAAGCCAACCCCTGCCCCCCATATAATAAAGGAAATGAAATTATAATCTTGACTTTTCTTTTAAAAAAATAAAAATAAAATTATAAATCATCTGACTTGGATAATTAATTGCATTTTGTATTCATCAATATACTCATCAGTACATGTAGGACTGTAGGAGCATCCATTAGGGAAAATAAAAGATAATCCAAGACGGTTGGTATGGAGGGTTATCAGTTATACTTGTAATTTGTAGGAGCAACTATATATTAATGCTATAATTATACGTAGATGATAGAGTATAAAACATATTCTTGGGCCTCAACCATAAACTTAAACTTTTGATTGAGATTGTTCGTTAACTTGGTATTGGAGCCATAGGCCCAGGAATATGTTATATACTCTATCAGTAGACTTGTATATAATCATACACACAAACTACATATTATAAATCAAGTAGGCCTTGATGGTATGATATTTAAATAAAAGTTGAATAAAATTGGAGATGTAATAGTAGGAAAGCTACTGCAATTTGACATAAGCTATTATGAATATCCAAACATCTTTTTTTTATTTATTTTTTTATTATTGTAAATAAAAATCCTGAAAGCAGCAGCAGCGCATGGAATGAAGTAAATCGATATGATATGGACAAAGTTGTAAAAGTACTCATAAAATATATATTTTGGCTACGTACATAGACATGAGCTATAGTTTTAATTTGTTGAACGAGATCCTAAAAGATTGTGGCATACTCAATGGCACGTAGTATTTGTTTCAAAAAATCTTGGGTGTAAGTGGTTGATTGGTTGTATGCAAGTCTAACTGTCTAATACTCGTTGCAATTTGCTCCTATAATAATACTAGTAGCATATGTCCAAAGTAACTACCCACTCTAACAAGTAAGACAACACTAAGCATGTCAATCTCTTACAAAATAAAGATTAACTTCATATCAGTAATATCTCAAATGCCACATATTCATCCAATCAATCATCCTTTACAAACATTTTTTTTTTTTAAAAACAGAAGGTGGAGCAATTTGTACGAGTATATTGCTACATTTTATTTTATTTTTGTTAAGTAAGATGAAAGACTATTAAATCGGAATTTTTCAGATCAACCTAATATGGGTGAGGGCTAGACAAATTAGAAGGGTAGAGAGAACAATGAAAGAAAATCCCCTTCTTCAAATTGACTTTAATGGGAGATTAAACTTGACATCTGATTGAAAATGCTATCTTTTTCACTGCACTAAACTTAGCTTGATATTGTAACATTTTTAATTGGATGATTTGAATATGATACTCTGTAAGTTTTTATTCCATGCACTACTACTCTACTAGTACTAGTAGTAAAATAATTAAAAAAAAAAATATTGTAGGCTGTATGAAGATGAGGCCCATTAAAATAAAGCATCTACCAAGTGACTTGAGCCATCTCTGCAAACATGGCTCAAGTTGGGCTCGAGAAGATCTAGTTTTGTCCCCGAACTTGTCGTATTTGGTGACGTATTTTAAATTGTTCCCAAAAATTGTGTCATTTCTTCTGCGATTCTGTTGTTATACCAATCACCAAAACATGCCTTCAAGTCCTTTCACTGTCTTTAAATTATTATTTATTGGACCCAAATATCAAATCTGAATACAAATTCTTCAAGTTTTTTTTACATGGAATATATTTCTACATATGGAGCATACCTGAATAAGATATTAAGTTGACACAAGTTCTCTGTTAGCACGAGTCATTAACACAGTAGCGCTAAGAATCGCGGTAAGTAAGCAACTGGTTTGACGATGTTGCTGTGATGAAGAGAATTGGTGTTCAAGGATGGAAATGCATGCTCTTCAAATAACGCTGCATTGGTAATGTGAAAGTAGATTTATATATACATTATACTCCAGTGTTGATATTGCAGATACTGTCACTGACTGAGTGATAGGTCATTCATTGATAGACAGGATGACCAACTGATGTCTTAATAAAAAGAAGAGTATTTAAATCAAGTGAAGAAGATTTTATAAACTTTGATTGCGTCATACAGGCAAGGGTGATGCAGAGTTTGATGAATCAAATCTAGGCCTGCTTGCTATATTTTGGGAGGGAGAAACTGATACTGTCATACTGAAAAGTGAGATAGATAGAATAAAGAAAATGGTTGTAAACTGGAAAAGACCAAACATCAGAGAGCAGAGAGTGAAGCGAAGAAAGCATTCAAAGTTGGCATCTCAATTCTCAAATTCCCTGGACCCTGGATACCATAAAAGCCTCGCACTACGATTATAAAAGACTACTTGTACCTTCCACCTATTCTTTCAAATTACCCATAACATTTTTATTGCTATATACACAAATTTTACAAACCAAATTTAGCTTTAAAAAACTACTCTTAGATACTTAGCACGTAGGCGGTCTAAATTTAAGTTTATTACCAGTTTGTCCAACTCTTGATAGAAACAGTTGAGATTGTTTGTCATAATTACAAATGAAAACAGTAAATATTGGTCGCAAAATGTTTGGAATCCAGATATCCCATTACCTTCTGTAAAAAATTTCATATGCTTAACATTAAGTGCTCACTTTAGCTTTGCCAATGAGATACAAATAAAACACTTTGCCACAAATATCATGTTTGGACATGCCTATGATACTAGTTTCTCTGTATATCACGAGCGATTTCTACACACTTGCTTAAAAGCTCAGAATAAGCATGGGATCAGGAGCCTATATGTTTCTCTGTATATCACGAGCGATTTCTACACACTTGCTTAAAAGCTCAGAATAAGCATGGGATCAGGAGCCTATATGCCATGGCAAAAAGAATTGAAAAATAGAGATTCTTTTATGATTTACCTATCATCTAGTATACTTTACAATATGTAATTCACATATATAAACGACTCAATTCTATCAATGCATCACTAGCCTACCCATATATGATGGTAAAAGAATTATAGACGCATGAAAAATGTGTGTTTTTTTTGGCCTTTTGGGCTAACCAAATAGGTGACTTCAGATGCGTGTAATCAGTCCAATAACTCAGGAGAAATTTGGCCAAAAATATCAGGACATGATTCCCAGTTGCCCTGTTCCCTGGCCTCCCAATACCCTCCGACTAATTGATATGTGTCAGTTTCTTTATCCTTGGCAAACCACCGTGGCTTCCAGCCCCTTTCTTGCATTTTTCGAGCCTGGAATGGCAAGCACAAACAGTTTTTCACTACATCGTCTTTCAGAAGTCTGATCACGAAAGATCGTCCCCTCAAAGAGAGATAACTAAGGAAAAGCATAGGGAGCCAAATTCAATTATTTAACATTGTGATATCAGAAATTTAATTACCTGCCGCTGCCTTTGCTCTAGCCGCAACTTCTCTGCATTTGCCTTCTCATACTCCCCGTTTTCCAGGTACCTCTGGTCGGGCCTTAGCCTAGAATCAGTAGGGGGCAGCTTCTCCTATATTAACAGAAACAAAAAATAAATAATCCAAATCCACAATAAGCACATTTAACCCTCTGAAGATATATTCCCAATTTCGTTAGCTCTCAATAATAATAATAATAATAATAATAATAATAATAATAATAATAATAATAATAATAATAATATAATAATAATAATAATAATAATAATAATAATAATAATAATAATAATAATAATAATAATAATAATAATAATAATAATAATAATAATAATAATAATAATAATAATAATAATAATAATAATAATAATAATAATAATAATAATAATAATAAATAATAATAATAATAATAATAATAATATAATAATAATAATAATAATAATAATAATAATAATAATAATAATAATAATAATAATAATAATAATAATAATAATAATAATAATAATTAATAATAATAATAATAATAATAATAATAATAATAATAATAATAATAATAATAATAGAAAAAAGTGAGTCATTCAAGGACTTTGCTTTGCAGTATCCATGCATAACAATTGCTCAGGAGGTCTTGTTTAACTAGACTAAGGCGCAGCTCTTAAAAATGAATCAATCTGCAAGATCTAATTCTATTTAAACAACGAAACTAACCAGATTGATCATTCCAACAAATGAGACAGTCCAAGGATGACCTAACTCTTTATGGGTGGGCTCGAAACATTTATATTACCAATCAACAGTAATTTAAGGTAGAATCAGGAACTGTAGCACATAGAATTTGAGCAAAATTAAAGGGACACGGATTTCAGTAGTTACCTTCAATCCAGGAGTAAGCTCATTCAATGTCATCGCAAAGCGAGTTAGATTATATCTGGTTGGGTATCTGGGAGGCTTGCTTCGCCTCCACAATAACCGGGCTTCTGAGACAGCATCTCCCTTTCCTTTACCTAAGCAGTCACCATTTACATAATGCATGCTTTCATCCCACTTCCCAAACAATGTAGCAACTGTTTTCCCATTTCTGTCTTGCACTATACCTTGTACCTGGAAAGCAATCAGATATTTAGAAAGCAGGTAAAATTTTCTTGATGTGTAAAGCATCAACATAAACCTACTCCACTTAGTATTAGAGAAAAAAGGCAAGGTCAACTGTCAAAATCAAGATCACCAACTTTAAATAATACACAAGTTTACTAGAAACCCAACTCTAGAACAAGAACGCTGTACAATTTTAATCCAGGGTATAAATAATAATGCACAGTCCATACATTAACTTTTACACTACCAAGTACTTGCTAGAATCCTAAACACGAGAGCAAGGTATCCAATGGAGACAGAAACAAGTTCACTAGAAATGAAATAGAAGGAAAAACTAATGTTATGCAGTTCTTCTTTAGTTTTCCACATTTTCTAGCCCTTTTTCAGGGAAGAGGACAGTAATGAGCCTGAAGCTTAGGTGTTTTCTATATCAAATCTACCTGATTCCAAACACAAATGGAAAAGATCTTTCAAATTCATTTAAGTGATTTGATATATTAGTGATGTTACCCATCATAGGTCAAATTATATTAAAACAGCTCCTCAAAAGACCAAAAAAAAAAAAAAAAACGTTAGTGAAGAGTGGATATCATCAAGGTTTGGTTTGGGAAGGAAGAGGGACAGCACCTGTCGAGGAGTTCGGTCAATAATAGACTGCTCCTTGAACTTCAACTTGCAGGAATACTCCCGATTTCCCTGTATACGCATCGTACCGTAGTGTTCGCAATATAGCTTTCCTAATATAAGGTTGTATATGGATGTGGTTACCTACAAATAAAAATTACTTTGTAATTCTCAAATTGAGCATAAGAGAACACTTCATATTCGCCAATATTTGTTTATGAAGCTCACCTTACTCCATTGAAAAACTTCTCCATCATCAAACTCTAAGGTCAGAATTCCAACAGGATCAAGTTGTATAGAGCGGCCCCAAAATTTACTTTTCAAATTGCTGTCACCCCATAATCTCCATCCAGTTCCATCACAATGACAGGCAACTATCATAGGATGATGACTTACCTAGAACAAAATAACAAACCTAACGATTTAGTTTCCTTTTTCTAAAACAACAATCCAGGCTATTATGTTTCCAGAACTTCAAGGTCTCAATTCCGAATCATCATAAGAAAACTTACCAAATGAAATGAAAAGCATTATCCATTTCAAAATATAATTGAAAAATAGAAATCACTAATACATATTAACATGGCACTTTCAGGTGAGAGATAGAAACCTTTTCTGAGAAAAATCGGAGTCCTTTATCAGGAAAATCAGCTTCATAAGTTTCTCCCAACAATGGATTAAATGGCTTACAGATTCGTCCCTCGGTAGAAGCATATCCAGAAACAGCAAACGCAGCTACATTGAGGATTCTCATAAGGCTATTTCCCTGAAATAATCATTTCAACAACACAATCAAGAATAAGAATCCAAATCAGTTCACAGATGTATTATGCGATAAGCACAAAAAACCAATCCTAAGGTTTGAGCCGTATGAAATAGTTGTTAAGCCTTTCTAATTTCTATACAGTACACAGAGAAGACACAATTTCTGTTTTCAACTTCCCCACAAAACAGGCCAGGTGGGGAGTACGCTAACCTAAATTCACATATCTGAAAAATGACTGGAGAAGGAAGATGAGAAAGCATCCTCAAGGGGATCGGATTGAACAAGACTTTCATAAAAGATATAAAATACATCATAAAATCTCATCTCTGTCCCATTAATGCAGATTGAAGAAATTTGACAAAAGCTGCAATATTTTTGTTTGAAATAGGCACACAACGACAAGCAGCAAGAAAAGGCAGATTCACCAATTGTGGAATTCTGGCAATACAAATAGCATATTTTAAAGGCGACGGAGAAATCAAGATGAGACAAAACGACATGACATAATCTTGAATATTACCTGCTTTCCCCATGCGTTTGCCCTGTCAAGGAGATACGAATACTCCAATTCTTCGAAGCATTTTTGAAGAGAAGAGATTGGTTCATTAAAATAAACAGGAAGACAAACTTTTGTAAGGTCTTTTCCAATATTATCTTTTATCATAGACCAAAGACTAACTCCTTTCTCTTTCTCCTTAGGATCAGGAAATTTCTTACGTCGTTTGACATAAGGAAAGTTAGCTACTGCATCTTTGATAGAAGGATCAACATCCTCCTCAGATTCAGCAGCATGAAAATCATCATCATCCGAGGAAAAAGATGATATTCTCAAATCAGATGCACTGCTTTTGAAAGAACTTGATGATAAAAAGTCCCTTGTGTCAAAAAAGGCGTTTTCATCTTCATCTGTGTCTTCCTCTGCAGCATCAGCCCTATCATTATCATCATCAGAATCACTTGGAGTTGCTTCTGCAGGATGGACAGACACGTAATGTGAAAAAAAAGGAAAAAAAAAAAAAAGCAACTACTTTTTCCATTCAGCCATAGCAAGAAGAAAGGGCATTATTAATTAAGCATATAAATTTGGAAAGTATAACCCATCCTTGATTGTGTGCACTAACAAAATTAATTAAAAACAGAAAGCTATTACTACGTATTTAAGAATGAAAATCACATGATCTGAAAGTGCATTAGACTGTACAGAAAAACACAAGCTAGCCTTTGTTACTCAAATTCTAGAAAATTATTGCAGATTTATATGCCATCAATTACAAGAATTTTAGTAAGCATTGCTAACCTTTCAGTTTGAAACAGGAGCAATAGATAGTAGCCAAAATTCCAAAATATAGAAATTAAATCAGATGATTCAGATCAATACTCAGACAAATAATTAAATAATCAGGAACTAAGCTCAATGTCAGAGCCACAGAGCACAATCCCAAACATGCAATGCAAAGCTAATATCATATCAACATGAAATGGTTGGTAAAGCTGAGATCAAGCACAACTCTTCCAGATTCTTCAAGTACTAAGGAAGGCATCTTAGAGACTTACAAAGATAGAACAACTAACCAGAATAGCTAAACAATGTCAAACATAAAAGTCTTACCACTAGATTTATCTTGTTTTGTTCTGGAGGTCGCCCCTTGCTCTTTTGACTGCTTCTGACTCTCGTCAACAACTGTGTTCTCCAAGTCCACCTTTTCAGTCTACAATAAGGCCAAGTAAAAAAGAAATAATTCTCTTAGAGGTCAGATTTACCATTACAGCAATTTATTAAGCAAGTGTTGTGTATAACTAATTAATCTAGAAAGCAAGAATAACTTGAAGTATCTTCTAATTAAAATGCAAAACAGCAACTCAAATCTTCATAGTTCTGTAGTTTTGAATTGCTAATGGAGTTGATCTATTCCCTTGCAATACATAGTAGGTTATGCATTGAAAAAGTTGCAAATTTGCTATTTTTGAGACAAAAGCTTTAGAAACCTTATCATCCATGAAACAGAATAGCGGACTTAGATCAGAGCAACTGTAAATAGGGGGGGGGGGGGGGAAATCTCAAAGTGACTCAATTATATATTATTTTTTAATATATAAATCTGTTCAAATGCAACATTTTAGAGCTTTGGATAAGTCCATCTTCAATCTGCTGTCAGAAGCTGACAATAGGGATACCCAAAATTAAGTCTACACCCTCAGATGCCATTAGTGCTATACTGCCTTGATAGAAGAAAAATGCAGACAATTAAACTGTTTTAAAGCAATGGGGAAAAGGAATGCACAAGATGACTGGTAGACGACAACCAAGGTAAGAGTATTCCAGTTAGTCAAAGAAATTTGCTTCTAGTTACAAAAACAGCTAAATTAGAGCCTGAATCCCCCTTCCAAAAACAAATGATCAGCTTCATGGACCAAAATGTCAAAAATGCATCTCCATGAGTCGCTTAAGTATAATCTTCTCCACCTCACTCATCTGCAATATCATATGATCCCGAAAATCCAATTCTTCTATATCATTTTATACCACTTTCATTCAACTCATCCTTGATTTACCTCTACTTCTTAAAAAGAATTCTATCAACATCTATACAAATCAATAGTTTCCCAGCCACCTAATGAATCCTAAGTCCTAACAGTCTGCAGGTAGTTGCGAAGAATTTGGCAGGGAGAATGGTAACTCCATAACATGAACATATTAAGCTCTGCTGTTTGATATTTTGATGGACAGATAAGTATGTCTGGTGATAATACATGCTTGATTACTCATGTATGCATTTTGTGGAAGTGGAGTGATGATATTGAGATTCCCAGTGCAATGACCTGGAGTTGAATCCTCATACACTTCATCACTCAGAAAATAATCACCCCATTTGGGTTTCCCTAAGATAGATACAATAGGCCAAGTATAGGGATCATATGTACCTTAGTAAAAATGTAAGCTTAGTCCTGAGATCTAACTAATCTCATGGATTCTTGGCAATCAATTGAACATCATACAATACTACTGTCAAAAAATATTTGCCTTATGTTTAAGAAAGAGATTTCATAATATACCTATTCAATAGATTAAATAATACCTTGTTAATTACAATAGTGGGAAGGCAGGCTATACAATTTATCAGATTAGTAAATACAAACTAGGTAAATCATTAGACAAGAATAACATAACCCAAAATTAATAAAAACTAAAAATCAGTATTGCTACAAGGGAGAAACTGAAGAAGAATGCTGAAACCGATTAGTAGGCTGTAGTCTAATTCTGTTAACATGTACCTCTAAATGACGCAACGTATCAATAAGCATCCACTGCTTCTGCTTGAGCAATACAAGTTGATTCTGCATCCCTGCAAACTCAGCCCTCATAATTTGCTCACTGTCCTGTATGACTGCTTCACTGACACCCTCTTGTTGGAGCCTTTGCCTCAGCTTTTCAGTGGAAAGGGCAACATTGTCAATGGGGGCCATCAGCTCACTATTGGACATCCGAGGAAACATATCCTTGACAGCTTGCAGGGCATCCACCCAAGTCATTCGATCCTCACGAGTTTCAGCTCTTAAATGCAGTCTCTTTGTACCAGTATAAATGGAAAATCTCTTGTCATCTGATCTGCTTTCGCGGATTGATGAAACCTACAATAAGAGGAACTTTCAAAGCTGATTTAAATATATCATGAACAAGAAAGCATAGTGCTAATAGAGATAATTCTGGCGAATATCAATAAAGCAAAATAACATCACTGAATTCCTCTCATTAAAGCTGCATTTCCAGTTATAAATCAAAGTAATTGTACTAAAACTTAACTAATCATCATGTCACATCTATTCAGTAACTACCTAAATCATGCGAATACAAAGTACCAAGTACAAACTAACATTTCCCAAATCCAAATAAAAAAAAAAAAACCAACTTCTGTTCTCACAGAATCTAACAAAGGAAATGGAATTCTGCATACGACATCGATCGAAAAAGCAAATAAAATTAAAATTAAAAAAGAAAGTACCTTGAGGTGAACCTCACCGAAGGGCTTACGGCGGAGCGGGTTGGAGGAAGGATTGTTACCGGAACGGCGAATTCTGCGCATAGACTCATCGCCGATGACCTTGAAACCCTTCTCAGACTCCAAAGTAAGGGTAATTTTATGAGGTCCATGAATTTTATAATAAGAAAGAACACCATCTTGTAGCACAAACCACCTGGGTCTCCATCCTTTTCCATAATTGACCCATTTATACAATATCCCACATATTCCATTTCCGACTATATCGTTTATCTTCACTTCTCTCTGATCCACCGTCGACAGTTGCTGGTGATTTAGAATACTGCTGTTGTTATTGTGAATTTGATTAGTAGCGTTGCCGATGGCGGTGGCGGAGGTGGTGGTGGCGGCGGCGGCGGCGGCGGTGGTGTTCTCTCTCCTCCTGATCACCGCATCATCGCAGCCGTTAATATGGGGGGCGTCGGCGGAGGAGAGAGAGTGGGACGGCATTGGAGGGAAGGCAGAGGGTTGGTCGCGATTAGAGATTGGAGAAACGCAGCAGAAAGGATGCATGTGATCCCAAATTTGGCGGAATAAAATTAAGAATTTGATCTGACCGGAGTGAAGTAGACAGGCAGTTGCATCATCGGGTTCCGGTTGATGACGATGATTCAATAAACGGGAAAATTAGAGAGACAAACAGAGCGGATCATCTCACTCTGGAAACAGAAACAGATACAACCGGTGATTCGTGAATGGATGGATGGTCAAGTGTTTTTTCGGTTTAAACTTTGTATTATTCAGGCGGTTGGACTTGGAATTGGAATATGCCTTTTATTTTCCTCTTTTACCATCTTCATCACCTCAATACTATCTACTACTCCGTCTAATTAATTAATTGTACAACGATTTAAGCAAATCAATAACAACAAAATAAAGTTATGTAGTACGTAGTATTTTTTACATTTTTGTTTTGAAAAAATTATCATTTCCTTGATTAAGTTGTAAAGGTAGTTCTTTTCAATCTTATTTGACTTATTTTTCCTAAATTTATCTTATCTTTAACTTTTATATGAACTTAAGAAATTGTGTGAAGATTTTCACTTGATAAGGAAGGGGTTAATGATGTTCAAATTACAAGTAGAATAAGTTTTAGTAAATTTTGATAAGTTTATGTTGATTGTACCATCTGCTAGATGCATAGGTGTTGGCTTGTAGGATGACAAAGGGAAGCAATTCAAAGTTTCAATTAGATGGTGAATGACCAGGGTTGTAATATTGAAAAGTGAAATCATAATTTTTTTTTTAGAGAATGAAAAACATTTTGTACTAGTACATGATTTGTTAGTCTATTTGTAATAGAAGATTGATTTAACAAAATACTCAAAAAGTAAGACCGTTTATACATTATTAGTCATAATTAAATTGGAGGGTAAATTAATCCTAATTAAGTAATATATTCACACAAAAACACATTATACAAAGTATTACCTTGTCAATATCATTGGTTTTATATCATTTAAATAAAAAGTTAGATGACTTGTTAGGTAGTTACTCATTCCTGATTTCTTTGCATTCATACTTCATAGGATGGTTTAGACTTAGTTATTAGCTTAATCATTACGCTTGCTAATGGTTTCATGAGTACAAAATGGCTGCTAGCCTGCTATTCTTTGCCTTTGCTCTCAGTAATCAGATTACTCATATCTACAACAAGTATAATTTCACGGGTTTGGATTTGTTTAATGCATTTACACCAAAAAGTATAACGCGATAATCATCACTTGACTTTAGCTATCGAAATTGAACAATCACCTAGATTATAAAACTCTTTACTTGAATTTAAAGACAATCTTTTCCAAATTATACTAAGTCATGTTTAAAGAGACACATGGAAATCTTAACTCTACTTTTCTTGGTCATGCCTATACTAGTCTTTGTTTAATGTTGTATTCACCCTTTTGATCCTAGCCAAATTTTCGAATAATATTCTCTCCATTGCCAAACTTGTAATCATATGCATTGAATATTACATGAAGACGAAGGTAGTTACAACGCCCAAGACGTATGAGTCTTTGGAGTATCGGATACTCCATATATTATATATGTCGACTCTTGACCGTGTTTTGTGTTGTTAAGCTAAACAAAGGAGGGTGATTTAGGATGGAGTAATGACAAGACATCAAATCTAGTACTAGTAAGCAAAATGAAATTAGCGAGACATAAAGGGCCGCGGGCAAGAAAAGGGGACAAAAAGCAAGATAGTTACAGTTGAATTGAGATGGTCAATTGTGGGCACAGTGATAATTGCATCTATTTGTAATGTGTAAACTGTAAAGTGATTGTGGAAGGCGAATCAATAATTAATTTATTCATGTGCAACATAAAAAAAGAAGATACGAGTAGTAGCCAAAACCAAAAATGATTATTAATATAATACTACGTACGAGTAGTACTTAATACTAATGATGTAAAACAAAAAAGAAAAAACAATGGGAGGAAGAGAAGAGAAGGCATCCCTGACAAAAGAAAACAGTTCTAGAAGGCGAATCAGGTTCAGTTGATATGAAGTTTGTTTGATTGATGAAATTGAAACGCTAATACTGGTACTAGCCAACAACAATTCAACAAAGACGATTAGGATCTGATTCCATAGATTTCTCTCTCTATCTTCAATTCTTGGCTGCTGACTCACCCCTGCCAAACAACAACTTTCCAGCTCAATCTCACTCCTGCAGGCTGCAACATAAATACCATGTACTCATGTACTGCACTCCTCTTTTTTTTAGCTCACCTGTTTCAGGCATCAGCTTCAGCATTCTATATCTCACTATCGTCTTATTTCTAGTACATATTTCTTGTATTCTACTTTGGATTATTCACCAAAACTTGATTAATTTACTTGGCAACACATAACAAAGATTTACAAATCACAACTGCTAAAGTGAAGCAACAATTTAAAATAAAATTAAGAGATTTAATCACAGAAATTAGTGGTGGCTGGTGGCTGGTGGGCATTGGGCAACTTGATATAAATGCATAGGGTAACTGGGATTTGAAAGCAACAGAAGCTTTATTCTTGAGTTGAATTTAAAATTGGTCCACCATTGTGCTACTGTACAAATCCCATGTGACTAACCCAGACCAAGACAAGAATGTCCATGAGGATGAATCAAACTCTTCTTCTTCTGTTAAACAAACTGCCCCAATAATTCTCCATTTGTTTCCATTTCTGTCTTACTGCTATCATCTATTTACCCACATTTATATATAATCGTATTATTCATTACTTATTCTTTTTTTCTGAGGTAAAGGTCAAATTTCTAAAGGCTCAGGCCACCTTCCTCATACAAGTACAACCAAGTCATTTTCAATATAAATAACCCTGCCTTAAAAGGTTGCCTTCTTAATTCTTACCTCCCAATAAAATACGAGTAGTGATTAATAATATACCGAGTATCATGTACGCAGTTGGCAGTTGGCAGTTGCAATATTTAAAGGACATTGAGCCAAACAAAAAAGGATGAGGGAGTACTCCAAACCTCATTAGATATTTAGATATGATTATACAAGTGTGGACCGTGGGTGTGATGAAGTCAGTCACAAATGCTATCTAAGTACTTTATGGACCACCTCTAATTGCACTTCCAGACTCACGGAGTAAATAATTGTAAGCTTTTACTCGCATAGAAAACAGCCAAGTCAGTTCGACAGACATAAGGATAGGGTCAGATCGAACAAATTTGCTTCATGACATTAACTACGGATGAAACTTTGGATCACAAAAATTAAACACACCAACAGCTAATGCAACCAAAGTACCAAATACACAAGCAACTAACCCAGGCACATCCCCCTATTTATTTGTCATTCTGTAACACCAAAACATTGGTCAACATATTCCAAATTGTGGTAAAAGAAATACTTTGTATAATCAGATCTAGATTGAATACAGACACCATAAATCATTCAATCAATGAATGATATCTGACATGCTTCAAAAAAAAAAAAAAAAATAAATAAATACAAATCCGACTCTGAACAGGATTGCACTACTATACACAAAAATAAAAAGGCAACATCTAACATTGTTTTAATTATTTCTTGTTTTTTTTTTTTTTTTTTTAATGAAGAAAAAAGTGGGAAAGAAAACAACCTCATAAATAGCACATGAAAAAGAATGGTAGAGCACTCTTCAACTCAATTTGTGTCTGACTAATCTTTTGAAGAAGTCAAGGCTGCCACGCAGGATAAAATAAAGTATATTAGTCATTAAGTGACAAAACTTAAAAGATACAACAAATTACAAATTGTTGACGGCAATGTCCACAAGTCTTTTAACAATTCATGTAAACTAAAATGGAGAAAATTGGAATAATTGACCTAAAAAGAAGCAATTAGAAATCAGAGGTGCTAATACAGATAAGATGAAATGGTCAACAATAAACGTAGCCGGTCTACCAACCCAAAAAGAGTAGCATATTAATTTTGAGGAAAAGATATATTTTGGCACGTCTCTGTACTATAATATGATAAGTTGATAACAATTTACAAGTACCTTCAAATTTTAAATATTATAAATAATTTTGGATTGAAGCCATTATCAAACTTCTCAACCTCTTCCTATTCTTTCCACATGCAGACAATAGGAGATCATGTAAGATTAGTAATAAGACTAATAACCTCCTACATTTTCCTGCCTATGCAAACCCACACAATTGATTCTTCTTTGTAATAATACTCCAATTATTTTTGTCTGTCTAATGCTATTGGCCTCTAATAATAATGACATCAACTTTTATTCCTTTCTTCTAATAATACTCCACTTGTTCTTTGAGATCATCAACAGAACATGAGAATAATAATTAGATTAAAAAATCTTTAAATCTTACATCACTTATAAACTTCTTTTTTTTTTCAATCCATGAAATTATTTTTCTACAAAAGAGCATATATAGATCTAATACTCCAATTTTTTTTTTTTTTTTTTTTTTTTTTTTTTTTTTTTTGTTGTATTCCTGTTATTAATAAATTGATGTATAAAGTTGCTTTCCAGGATCAGTAAGGTGTGTGGAGAAGGGTGATACCTCCTTAACATTCCTTGAAAGAGGATTTGAACCAGAGTAATCAGAAAATTTACATACGTAGCACACTACTTACATGTATCATGGTTCACAAACAACTAAAGGGTATCCTCTCACAATATAATCCTCTGTCAGTCAATGATGCACAATGTCACCGCTTTCACCTGCTTGAAAGGCATTCTGCTAAAGGGAACTGATGCTTTGGAGCAATTGGGAGATTCCCTAGAAATAAAGCGGGACTCTGCTTGTGGCAGCAACATGCTATTGGGTATCACTCCCGATTATAAATTCAAATCAATACATTCAGTCAAATTAATTACAGATTATATACTTAATAATCACGAGTATCAAATTATAAATTCAATAGTAAAATATACAGAGCTTGAGAGCAGAAAACTACCCGATACACACACACACACACACACACAAAAGAGGTGAAAAGTTGCATAAAAATATCACAATGCATGTATCCATAATATGTAAAGGTTAAATAGTCCTCTATAGACTGCGGGAGGCTAGTAAAGACCCATGGAGATTGCACTTCACTTTTGGCCAAGAAGGCTTCCTACCAGTGTCCAATAAAAGTCTCCATGGTGTCACATAAGTTATGGTGATAAGGTGACCGCCATAAGGCCTCCCATTGGTTCTACTCACATCTAAAGCCCAATATCTCATGTTTGGGTCCAATTTAGTCCAATTGGGCCTGGTCACTGAATGATCCAATTAAAAGCCCAAGGCAAAGGTTCAACTCTCCAAATATGCTAAAGTCAAGAATCAACATCCTCAAAGCCATGTCAAGGTCAGTCAACGGCCCAATCAGCTTGGCCCAGCCCAACTGATTTCCGGGCCCAATCCGCCTCCTTCATTAGCCAAGGTATAAAAGCCAACAATTTGGTCAATTCTTGGTAAGAGTAAGAAAACAAGACAAAGACAATAAGCCTCAAGCAACAAAACTCTTGCACAGCTTTCTCTCTCTAATATACTGACTTAAGCATCGGAGGGGCCTTCCTCGGCGTCCCCCCCGAGGCTAGTTTACGTGTATTTGTTGTGCAGGAAACCCTCGGCTCCGGCGTCGTTCGGACCGAGACCAAGTTCCCTCAAGATAAAAGGATCTTCCGAGATTCGATTGTTTTCATCCGAAACAATTTGGCGCCGTCTGTGGGGAACGCTACTAAATTTCGCGTCAGTCATCAAACACTCCGGCAGTCGCCATGACTAAGAGTGGAAAGAGTTCCAAGAAGGCTAAGAAGGGAGGAGGCCGGATTACGGTGAGGGAACGCCAGCCGGTTTATCCCTCCCCGGAGCAAGCCTCTTCCGAATCAGAGGCCCCCATTTCTCCGGAAAGGGAAGCCTCAAGAGGTCCTAGCCTCCAGGAGGAGAACACCTCGCACCACACTCGGCAGCCGGGGCCATCCCCGAGACCGAGTGGCTCAGGTGCGAGGAACTCCCCGCCGCGCCATAGCGTGCAATCCAGGTCACATCCGCAGGAGACTCCTCCCTCCGGACCCTCCACCGAGGAAGTGGCCAGAGCAGTGGCCATCTGCATGGAGTTCCTTAAAGCTCAAGGGGCTCCAATCCAGATGCCTGATGATCACCAGCCGAGAAACCTGAAAAGGAGGATCGGTCAGGATGATGGTGGACAAGTTCCACCACATAGACAGCTCGGCCAGAGGTGGCGAGGGGACACCCGAAACTCCAGTAAGGAGAGGAGGAGGAACCCTCAACCCTCTGACCACTCTGAAGCTCAGAATTCTATGGGGCTCTCCAAGGACCCGGAATTCGCCCGCCGGAGCGTTCACGAGCGCTTGGGTTCGAGGGAGGTGAGTGTGCATAGCCGCCTCACCTTCCCAGAGGATACCGGACCCCACCCAACCTTGTCTCAGCCGGGGACGAAAACCACTTCCACCTCTGAGAGAGGAGGGAGCGAGGTCCCTAAGGCCGGGTACAAGGGGAAGGCGGTCATGGTTCCATCGAGAAGGAAAGACACTTTCCCTACACGGGAAGGTACGATTCATACACTCCACTCTCCCTTCCCCGTGCTAAGATTTTCAGCACGACGAAGGACGAGGGGAGATTCAAAAAACCTCGTCCGTTGCCTCCCTGGCATCAGACGAGGGGAAAGGACCAGTGGTGCGAGTTCCATGACTCACCCGGACATCGCACCGAGGACTGCGTCCAGCTGAAGGACCAGATTGAGGATCTGGTCCGCAAGGGGTACCTGAGCCAATACCTCGCGGACAGGCGCGAGGAGAAAAAAGCTGAAAAAGATTCTCGGCAGGACCTCAACTTCGCTCGGAAGAAGGATAAGGGACCTCAGGGCAAGGAGTCCCTCGACATCCTAGTTATTTCCGGGGGAATCTCGCGAGGCACAGCCAAACGCCAACTGAGGGGTCTAACCCATCAGATTCATCAGGCTGAGCTTCGGCAGTCCCAGTCACCGGCGCCGAACATCCTGTTCACAGCCGAAGACTGTGAGGGGGTGGTATACCCCCACGATGACCCACTAGTAATCATTCTGGGCATCGCCAACCGCAACGTCTGGCGGACCCTCGTCGACGGCGGTAGCGGGGCGAACATCCTCTTCCGAGGAGCGTTCGACCAGCTGAGGATGGGAGCCGAGCACCTGGACCCCGCACCCTACCCGGTGTCTGGATTTCAACGGCTCTTCATCGTATCCTGACGGAAGATTACACTTCCTGTCACCATCGGCGAAGGCCGAGCAGCTAGGAATATCATGGCCGAATTTTTGGTCGTAGATGCTCCATCTGCATACAACGTGATCATGGGGAGACCCCTCATTCACGGCATTCAAGGAGTCGTCTCCACGTATCATCAAATCATGATATACGTTTCAGACGAGGGACGCTCCGAGAAAATAAAGGGCAGTCAAAAAGAAGCCCGCCGATGCAATCACCTCAAGCCATCCACGTCTCGCCGAGGCGACCGTGGCGATGGGGAGGAAAAGCACCGGGACCGAAACGCCAAAAAGCCGAGAGGCTCAGACGTTTCGGCTAATGAAGCCCCAGACAACGAGAAATCTGATGGGGGCCAAAAGGCTGACTCCGCCTCAGAGCCGAACGACTCTGATGGCCAGCCGCGGTCAGGAAAGTCTGCTAATATTGATAGCAGGCCGGAATTCGAGGAATCCAACTCTAAGAGCATGGAGACGGATGACCTGACCGAGTCAATAGAACTTACCGTAGGAGATCCGAACAGATGTGTTAGCATCGGGTCGTCACTGGAGCCAAACACCCGTGCGGCACTCGTCCAACTCCTACGGGCCAGTGGAGACGTGTTCGCCTTCTCAGCCGCAGAAATGCCCGGGATTGATCCGGACTTCGTCTCCCATAGGCTTAATGTCGACCCCTCCAGTCGACCCATTAAGCAGAAAAAGCGGAACTACTCCGCCGAAAAGAACCAGAACATCGCAGCTGAGGTCGATAAGCTCCTAGATGCTGGGTTCATTGAACCCTGTCAGTATCCGGAGTGGCTGGCCAATGTTGTAATGGTTCAGAAGGCAAATGGTAGCTGGAGGATGTGCGTTGACTTCACGGACCTGAATAGGGCATGTCCCAAGGACTCCTATCCGCTGCCGAGGATCGACCAAACTGGTCGACTCGACAAGCGGGCATGCTCTGCTCAGTTTCATGGACGCATTCTCGGGATACCATCAGATCTTCATGCACCCCGAGGACCGAGCTAAAACAGCGTTCATAACAAGTTCCGGGTTGTACAATTACAGAATGATGCCCTTCGGATTGAAAAATGCGGGGGCAACATATCAGAGGTTGGTTGATCAGGTTTTCGCCGAGCAAAAAGGCCGAAACATGGAGGTTTATGTTGACGACTCAATCGTCAAAAGCATAAAAGAAAAAGATCATGTCACGGACCTAGCCGAAACCTTCGCCACCCTCAGAAAATACAAAATGAAGCTGAATCCGAAGAAATGTGTCTTCGGCGTGAAGTCAGGCAAGTTCCTCGGCTTCATGGTCAGCAAGAGGGGGATTGATGCAAACCCCGCCAAAGTACAAGCTGCTTTAGACCTCCCCGAGCCGAAGACAAAAAGGGATATTCAGCGTCTAGCCGGGAGAATGGCTGCCTTGTCCAGGTTCATCTCACGAGCCTCAGACAAAGGGCTCCCTTTCTTCAAGGCG